GCTGGGCTAGGTGACCTCCAGAGGTTCCCTTCCAATCTAATTCATTGTGTCATTTTAATAATAACCATTCTAAATTACAAGAGAGTTTCTTTATGAGGCTCCAGCACAGCTTTTTCATTGCTTAACCACTCTCACTCCGAACAATTTTGTTCCATATACCAATCATAATTCCCCTTGCTGCAGCTTGTGACTGTTGCCTCTCATGCTTTCACTGTGTACCCTTGAGAAGAGTCTGGCTCTGTCTTCTCCATAAATTCCCTTTGGGTCCTTGAAGACAGCAATTAGATCTTTTCATCCTTCCTTCCTCCAGATTAAACAACCTCGGCTCTCTTCATACATCACACAACTACAGCCCTTGAACCTTGACACTCTCCCACTGTTATCTCTCTCGCACCATGTGGCCCCAGGCTGTAAAGTTTCATACCCATTTGCTCTTGTGCCAGAACGGGCTTTTTGCTCACCCCCCTTACTTGGCACACTGATGGAAGCCCCCCTACCCCATTTTGACCTTTCATTTTGCCAGATACAGCACAGCTTTTTAGCCTCCTCCTGTGTGATGGCCTTCTTAGTTTCCTGATCACCTTGGCAAAATTTCCTTCCACCTGGCTGTACGAATGTTTTACCTTGAACAAGGATGAAAAGGGTATTAACTGGTCTATGCTTATAGGGGGACTTGCAGGAAGTCTACAGGACCTTCAGCCCCTCCTTCTCCTTCCTCTCTGCTTTAGCATCCTCCAGTGTAACACATCTCAAATCATGTGGTACGGCTGCAGCTGTGCAGCCCCCATTTTAGATCAGGGCTGAACTCAGGTAATTGTACCAAGTATTCTAGATAATGTGTTCTGAGACCTTTTTGATACCAGTATCTCTTCCCTAGGCCTGTTGGAAACACCACCTTCAGTATACCCTAGAACCTTACTATCTTTGGCACGGACAGCTGGTAGGCACCCCCAGCAGGTTTCATGGCACCTAGCTTTAGCTGTCTGAAAATGTGGTCATCCTGCCCTGAGAGAGATAGTTGACCTCCTTCAGGTGCCCATCTCTCTCTGCTGATTAGAGGGAGAGGCTGGACAACAAGCTCAGACCCACAAGCTCATCATTACACAGCTGAAGTTAGGTGAATTTATCTCCATATCCTGTGACCAATTAAAACATTCACATTTTTTATTCTCCTCTGTCACTTCCACCTGAAAAGCACCTCTCCAGCACCGCAAGAGAAATTCTTGTCATCAATCTTCGGCTGTCTGACCTTGATTTTTTTTTTTACTTTTTCCATTTCTGTCACACAGGTGCTCCTGTTTATTTCTATCAGGTATCTCCCTCTTCTTCTTCAGGCACAAAGCCTCCCAGTGTCACATATGCAGCAAATTTATCACCGTGAGCCAGCCTTTTGATGGGGTCAGAGGGAAGAGAAACAAGATAATTTACGACATTACAATCTCATCATGGAAAAACAATACCAATAACTTGCTACCAGCCAACAAGTTCTTTGTCCATCGCAGATAATTATTGCTTACCCCTTTTGTTAGAAAATGAGTAACTGATTAGTCTTGCACTATCCCCTCACCTCAGCAATCTTAATTAACATATGATAATTAACACGATACCACAGAAATCCCAACATTAGCTTTACTGCATGTCTTTCATCTTAAAAAACAAAACAAAAAAGCCCCAACAAACTACCACAATAAAATGCTGTTCAGTTCTTTGTTGAAGTCATGGAAGAAATGTGAAAATATACAACTTGAATATCACAGGAAAGATTAATAGATTTTAATAAAGAAGTTGACAACTGAGTGGGCTCCCTGAATTGGGACTCGAATCACTTAACAGCAAATTCTCTCTTTTACTTTTCTCTCTTTTTTCTCTCTTTTCCCTTTTGATACATTTCACAAACATTGACCAGACAAAATAACCATTTAGAAATTTCTTGGGAATAATTTTCCAGGGCTAAGATTAATGATTGTAAGCATCAGTTATAATAGCAGGGGGAAAAGAAAACACGCACACAAAAAAATCTTTCCAACACCTAATTCAAGAAGGCCTATTTTAAAATATAATATTTGAACATGCCAATTCAGTCGACATCAGTAAAGATTTTTGCCTCAAGTTCTTTTCTTCGTTTCCCTTTTCTTTATGTAGTTAAATCAGCAAGGATAAATGTCTACAGACAAAATTATCTTACATCAAACAAATATTGACATGACTTTTAAGGTCAGTTGCTGCAAGGCCAGGATTTAAAAACAAATTAAATTTGATGTATGCCATTTCAAAGGTCAGTTGGAAAGGTATATGCTACACCCATTTTACAATGCAACCCCCAGGGAGGCAAACATATTGAATGCTGCGAAGAGACATTGCAATAATGAAGATAATTACGGTAATAGGTAGGTAGGTAATAGGGGCTTAATTAGATCAGAACAAGCATGTTATTTAGAGAAAAAGAAATTGCAGTGTATTAAATTAAAAGTAAATTACAACAACTCAGGTCAATATTTATTTCAAGTTGATAGTTAACACGCTTTATTGTACCTTTAAAGGGACTGAGATACTACTGCAAAAGGCAGTAAAAATGTTTCATTGTCATCCAGCACAGTCCAGCGTCACTGCATATGAAGGCTCTATCTCTCCCAGAATATTGCCATTCTGATAGAGGCTGTGCACACACTTAATTTCCTGATTTTCCTTTCTGATCTCAATAATTTTCAATAGTAGAAGTGAGATGGCATGAATCCTTTATTATTACTTGAGTAGCTTAAGAAATAAATAAGTGTCCATCCCTGAAACGTGCCCTCACTGGAAAGGAAGAATTTCCATGCGATGAGCATGAGCAGAGCAATTCTGAAAATGGTTAGTGTCCACATGAGCTGGTACACTGTGCTGCAATGGTACTACTCAGCTTTGTCACTGCAAAGAGCAACCCCCAGCCTTCCCTCAGACAACCGTTCCCAACAATTCGCTGAATTATTCCTGTTTAAAATGTTTGTGAATTTACTGCCTTAAAAACGTGTACCTGACAAGCAGTCAGTATGTAATCCATAGTGCTACTGCTCTGCCCTCCCACATGACTCCAAAACGTGAATGAAAAAGGGAGTGAGGTGGAAAGAGATTGCGCAAAATTTCATTGTTCTGCACCCTGGACAGCAGTTTATTTTGGAGGGATTCTGATTTATAAGCATCCTGTGGCCCTTTGCATAGGTGAAACTAACTTTATGAGATGCATGGCAGCGTAGCAGAGTAAAACAGGAGTGAAAAACAATGCATGCTGCAGGGTATGCCTTTAACGTGTAAATACCAACCAAGACGGCTGTGCTGTGATCGCATCATTTGGTTTACAAGAGTGACTTTCACTGCCAGCTCTCTCCAGTGCACAGCTTTTACTCTGCAGGTAGCACAGCTTAGGGTTAAGACAGTCACCGATATTTGTGCTGTCATGCAAGCTCTTGACTAGACAAATACTTCTGTCAGGCAATGCAGGGAGGCCCTCACAGAGTCTTGTCCTGTTTTCTCAGCTAGACAGACAGTGGCCATTAAGCAAAAACATGACAGTTCCGATTGTCTGTAAGGTAATATGGAACGATGACAGTTCAGAGACACACACGCTGTCCTTCCATGGCTTCTCTTACAAAGGTCACTGAAAACACCTTTAAAAACGAGGGTGACTCTCAATACTTTCTGCATGCATGTTTGAAACAACAATAGTCTGCAACAGTTCCCCAGAGAGTAGTCTAGTATTGCTAATGGAAATTATGTAAGCTCTAAATTGGCTATTCTCATCTAATTTTTTTTTTTTATTCAATTGTATTACAGCCCTAGGCCACTTTACCGGTTCTGAAAATAAGGTATTTTACTGTTTATGAGTGAAATGACTAACTCCTGCCATCTAGAGGGTGGTTTCTGGAACATAACCGAGGCAGACACAGTTTCACAGGATAAAACAACTGCTTAAAAGCCATTTAAGTGAGACTAAGATAAAAACCTTAGTGTCCGCCTGTCTCCTTGGAGTTTTTCTAGATTTTTCCCTCTTTTTCACTCATGTGTTTGTTCACGCAAAAATGCCCATTCGAATGAGAGGACAATCGTCACATCTGTGGATGTCTGAGAGTTTGTCCTGGTTTCAGCAGGGATAGAGTTATAATCATTTATTCTCATTGTGTTCTTGCATTCACGGCTGCCTAAAACAGACTAGAATGGTCACAACCAGAATAAAAGAATATTAATGATTAATGGCATTCATTAAGAAAAGTGAGAATGACACAAAAAAGCTCTAAGGTCTCACAAAAGATCATATGTTCTACTTAGGTTGTTAGTTAAATATCATGTAGCCATGGCTATTGACAATAGTTAAAAATGACTTCTCCACACACCTTTTTACAAAGGAGAAATATCCAGTTAAGTGATCATAATGAATTTTTGTCTTAAACAATAATTCTGTCTTCTGTGTGTCCCACTAACCTGGTGTGAAGATTACGTCTTGAAGGAAAAGCATGACAAGCAAACAATTTGTTGTGGGAGATACAACCCTGGCCTCACAAAAAGTTAAGAGTCTTCCTGGAAAGGCAACGGTGGCCAGCAAATACCTGCCCCTCTCATTAAGCCAAAATCACACTCTATAACTAGCAGCCAACTTTCAGTAAGAAGTGCATGACCAAGTACAATGTGAAGCAATACAACCGCCCCACCTGAGTGAATGGATGATCAAAGCACACAAGAAGTAAAACAGTGCCCTAGGACTTATTTATACGAAATATGTATCAAACCCTTCCTAGGCAAAAGACTATGAAATACACTGGAATGTAACTGCTCCGTGATCCTTGCACTCATCTTCATTTAAATATCTATACGAGACATCATCTAATGATTTTCACAAAGGGTTTTCTAGGCAATATGCACAAGAGCAATAAATATGCTTGTAGGAAGAACTTTTGATATTAAAGTGAATCAAAGACATCCTTACATCACTACTTGTGTTGCATGCCATTTAGGAGAAGGAGTTAAGCAAGGGCTCATCGTACAAAGAAAAGGGAGCAGCAAGTCCACACAGCTGTCTTCACCACATACTTCATACCCCTTCACACCTCACGTAGTCTCTTTCACGCGTGCCAATGAAACCAAGCTCCAGAGCTCACATCTCTTGCAGAACCATCTCTTGCAAGCACCACCAGGTTACAGACCTCTAGGTGGCCGAGATGGGAAATGAGCAGAAATTGCTGAGAAACAGACTGAACTCTCCTTCTGAAAGGCAAGTGATGAAGTATGACTTGCATAACCTGGGGTGAGACAGAGCTGCGTACAGGTTTTTTTTATGGTACAGATATTATTTCCCTTTTTAAGCTACACTGTATCCATACCATTAAGATTAAACAATACTTTATTTTGAAATCAGATGGAGCCACTGATGAAAGATTTCAGAGGTAACTTTTCAGGTGCCGACCCTAATCAATTACAATCACAACTAATTGTTGCAATTACTATGCCCTAACGTTTGGTCTCTGTCAAGCGGAAGTTGCAGGCAATCGCCATGAAAGCAAACAAAATTTGAGGATGGAACAACCACTGAACAGTAACATCCACGCAAACAGCTTATAAAAACTTTTTCAACGATTTGCTAATCACAGTGAAACCAACAGCTTATTTTAAGTGAGGAGAAAGATTACGTTAATTAGGACCCCCAAAATAACACCAAAAGAGATTTTTTTTCCCAATTCTCTTCAGGACACAGACATTCGTGTGGAGATAGATAACAGTTTTGGCCTTTTTTTTTTTTTTTAATCCAAGAAGATGCAAGTGCATGCAAATGCAGTTTGCATTGTAACACCACGTGCTTAGTAGTACACAAGACGCAGGTGCTAACTACGCCTGCTTAAGGGCGCTGACTTTGGTATCCATATGTTTACCATTTTTTGTGATGTCTCCTTCCTTCCACGACTCTGGCAACACCTTTCCCTGCAGCGCGGAGATCCCGCCCTTTCTTGCTTCCCAACCATTCGATGTCTAACTCGCGGACATTGCAATTCCGTGAGGAGAAAGCGCAGATTTGCTATTTTGGCACTTGTTTCTCCCCCTAACTCCCGTCAGACAGAGCCCCCGGCCTGCCCGGCTCCCTGCGTCCCTACCTCTGCGTACTTCCCGGTTCAGCCCCTTCAGCCGCCCCTACCCAGCACGCCGTGTCGTGCCGCCCGGGCTGCCCCCTCGACCCCCGGCTGCCCGGCGTGCG